GGATCGATTGGTATAGGTCAGGCGCGAGTATTTTCCTTTGGATCACAAGAGGGAAGAAAGATGCGGGGACCGGGCTCCCCTAATCTCGTTTAAGGTCACGGTCGTGATTTTATGGGAATCGAGACACCGTTCCGAATCGGCAAACCTGGTACTTACGACATCGGTGACCATGAAAAGAAGTCTTTTATTCCGAGATTCTTCGACCGGAAAATGCCTGTATTCACGAGCTCATGCTCGTAAAACATTCCACTTCGGAGTTGGATTATATTCTCTCCAGTCACGAGAAAGATCGAAGAGAATATATTTATAATAGCGACGAGAACATTTAATAATTTATGACATAAATAATTTCTTTAAACCTTACGACTCGTTTGTTAATTTTTTTTTTTTTTTAATCTTCGTTATTTGAATTATTAAATTTTTTCTACAAAGAAAAATCTTTCCGAATTTTTAAAGTTTTCGAAATTTTAAAAAAATCAACTATCTGACTAATAATTTGTAGTGCAATGGAGTTTCGTGAATATTCGTATTCGGGAAATGTGAATCATTTTAATCGAGGAAACAACACTTGAATGCCGTGTAAAAAAAAGCTGGGGCAAGGAGGGTGGACAAGAGAGGATTTTAGGTTGGATTATAGGAGACGTGTACTTCCATCGATGATCCAACAGGGATAAAAACAGCTCGATTTATGTTCCCCGTTTCTTCTTTTCCCATTTATCTCACCCTCGTTTAATCCATTTCGTGTTACACACTTTTCATGCAGGGAACGTTTTTCCTCGATTCATCGTTTCCAATAAAACAACCTCGTTTCGTTTGTTTTTGAACCTTCGTAAAGAATCTAATTTCTATTGTATTACAAACTTTAAACGTATTAACCATTATCGTATTGTAAATTACACACTTCCATAAACATTTCAGAATTTTTCAAAGCCTGAAAAAATAAAAAATTATTCCGAGAATAAAAAAAAAACATTCATTGAACGAAGACGAACATCGTTTAGATTAATTTTTATCTTTTGACAGAAGTTTTAAATATTTCAACTATCATTTATACGATAAATTCTAAAAACTTCGATCGAAGCATTGCAGAATTGTTTCAAAAATTTTCTCAAATCAAGTTTGGAAAATAAAAGACTCGAATTATTTACTGCTTAATGAAGATTCCAGAATTTATTTTTTAAATTCCAAAATCGCATTCTTGCCACGCGATAAATATAACCGATTATTTTCCGATGTACGTCGAACATATTTGTTCGTCCCTCGTCTATTTTTATATATTTTCGATCGGAAAACCATGGAGAACGAAATCGTGTATGTATTTTAATTCACTTACCTTGTTTACCGCGATCGATTTAGTCGTAATTAGGGTTTTATTAAAGTGGATCATTGTTTGCCACGATAAAATATCCACGCGTTTCAAAGTCGTATTTCAACGACACAACATTGATGATCGATCGATTCTTTCCTTCCTTTACTCTTTTTTCCATTCGTTCCACGTGTACGACTACGACTCTTCCTTTTTTTTTTTTCGTTCCCAAAATTTTTAATTAAATCCGTCAGTGATATATCTGGAAAAAACTTCCTTTCGAAAAAAAACGCTTTCTCTTTTTTTATTCGAAAGCGTATATCTCTCTTTTCTTTTCTTTTTCATTTTGATATAACAAAAATTTATTCGAAAAAACTCCTGTTTATACGATTCAAGAAATTAAATTGACTTAATCCATTAATGCTCAACGTTTCATACATGTATATGAAAGTTTAATTATTTATTATTTTATTAAAATATATTATTTATATATTGTATATATTACTGTTATTTATATATTATATATTATATTATATATATCGTTGCGAAACGGGCGATTCTATCTTTTATTACGTTTCTTTATTTTTTTTACAATTGATATTTAATTTATTTATAATTATTTGCACTGTATTTATTCATTTATTAAACGATATAATATTCGTTCGAGGAACAGAGAGAAACACGTCCGTTCCGTTCGGTATACGGAAAGCAACTTCGACTTTCGACGTAATAACCGAATATCAACA